TAGTTTTCGGATTAGGCCTTTGGTATCAGTTTCTGAACCACATGTTTATGTTTGAGAACCATACAGCAGGGGATCGACGTCGAAGAAAGAGAAGATCTTTGTTTTCTATTAACAAAAACCGCTACACTGCTACTATTAACAAAACCGGTTACACTAAAAGCGGCTTCGCTTGCCACCGATGTTGATGGCACAATATTGAAGCGTCGGACGATTTGAGCAAGACCCTACAGAAGCGCTTTTGTTGGTCTTTCTCTATCGTTTAAAGTCGCCCTCTTTCGTCATTCGTTTTCTTCGTTTTGATTCGAAAATATACAACACACATCGTCGTCGGTATGTCAGTGTAGAGAACGAGGAACGAAATAGAAAAGAATATTTAGTGTAAACTTTACAGTGTAATGATTTTTTAAGAAATTGTCATTCTTCCTTTATTCACATTAGTAATGTGAATAAAGAAAGAATGACAATTTTTACTTTGCCCAGTGTACGTAATGTGACATTACGTACACTGGGCAAAGCTATCATTTTTATACAAACATACATACCTACTGATTATACACACTGGGTGATATATATTATGCAAAAAATCAGAGAAAAATTTGGTGAAACTACTATGAACTATTGTACTGTAAGAGAAACATTGAACTAAACCTAAAATAAAAAAATATAAGATCAAAAACAAAGTCCTTATGTATCGTGGAACTTCTGGACACAGATGAATTTACGAAATTAATACGTCTGTTTTCTTTGCTTTTTACTCGTTCTCATCGTAGTCTCTAACTTATTCATAAAAGGCGATCATTTACCACAATCATTCATAAGAGTTTTGAAGCTTGAACTGACACCGGATGTATGGTTTGATCATGCAAAATTTTCTAATTCGCTGTTTTCGTTCTCGTTGATTGGTCTATATTAACAACTCCTAAATGTTTGCACCATATACATATTACAGACAGCAACACAAAAATGTCAGGAGAAAACGTGTAGTGAACCCTTGTCACTGTACTTTCTGAATTCATTCTACGTAATCGCATTTAATTAACATCTGTAATTTGCTCGAAATTAGAAAATAGCAACGTAATGTCAGAAAAAACAATGATTTATATCTCGCACCAATTGCTGAATACGTCTTAACGTCAGCCTCGAATATAACTGAGATTAAGCAAGAAAAGTTTATAAGAAAACACTCAGCTTGTGTTTTGAAAGTTAGTAGTTACTGGTAGTTAAAATAATTACTAACTATTCCAGTTAGTAGTTAGAACAACTACTAACTAGGGTAGTTAGTAACTAGAATAACTGCTAAACGAAAAAGTTAGTCAGTTATTCCAACTACTAACTGTTAAATTAGTAGTTAGAATAGCTACTAACTGGAAAAAAGTTGAGTTTGGCCTAACGGAACTCCGACAGCCCTAATATTGAGTTGAGATAATGTCTCCTGATAATAAGAGACAAATAAAGATGACGACATATTCTTATATTTCGCTTTGTTTTTTTCTTCGAGACAATATTTATTTATTAATTCTATTACTCATACATAATTTGGTAACAATTATATCAATCATAAATCATGTTCAAAAGTCACCATCAGACAGATATCAAAAAACCCAATAAAACAAAACAGCCAAAATTCCAACAAACTACTCCACTCAAAAAGCAGTGTAAAAGCAAATTTCGACCAATTGGTTAGCTTCTAAAGGTCGCCCATAACCATTTTCTGACTCGCAACTTCTATTCTCTAGTAAAAAAACATATGACGTTCAACTTCTTCTACCATACCGGAATATAAGTTGAATGTAATGGCTTCACGCTCATCTATATAATCTGTAGAAGCCATTATCAGATTACGATTCCTCTATACTGGAGAATTATTTTCAATAATGTTTCTATGAACAAACATGGAATATGTCTTCTAATACTCAGATTCTAATACTCAGATCTCACAAGAATCTTATATCAACAATCATGTAAAACTGTCGATATCATTGCATAATAGGAATCATATTAAATCTTCTAATAAGATATTTCTACGATTTCATAATATCATACAGTCTGAATGTCACAAAATCTCATTCTCAGTAAGATCTATTATGATTTTCGTACAATTTTTTCTTTTAGAACGGATTTGATGAAATCTGGCAATAATGTGTAGAATCGATAGTGATCATCTAGTTCTATCTAGGTCCATCATTGGTCTAACTTTGTCTAACATCTGGGCGAATCGAGACAGGTTTTCTGCGTGTTTAAAAGTTTTTTAGTGTTTAATCTCAGTAATTAGAGTTTGTTTCGATGATAAAAAGATCATTTAAAAGAAACGAGTAGTGTGTCGGATAGAGTTAGTCGAGTTCTACGCTGGTCTAACTTTTGGGCGAATTCATTAAGGAAATACTTGAATCGTGACGTCGGGCATTCTAAATTTTGTGCGTGATCGCAGTTCGAAGGACTTTATTTTTTTTTATTATAGGGTTTTTTAACAGTATAAATTGACATAATCGACATTTTTCTTTCTTTTGAACTGGTACATTATAATTCGATGGAAGAGAGAAAGCATAAGAGAATCTTTTGAAAGAGAAGAGAAAGAACGAAAAAACTACTGTTGTCGCCTGCAGAACTGATCCGTTGATTGAAATTCTTGAGGACACTTTGGCTTTGAATGAATAGTTTTCGTAAGAGAAATTATTCACCGTTAAAAACATTAATCATTCCAGTTTGTTTTCTTTCGTTTGTTAATAATAGATTTCTCTATTAACCACTGTGGTCTTTTCATCGTAACTCATCAGATGTATAGCTCTAGATATTTTTTACTTTTGCTCGCCGATGTCACATTGAGAAGCAACAGAACGTCAAGAGACATACCGAACGAACATTAAATATTTGTAAAAGACTTATATCAAGGGCCTGAACAGGCACGAATTACGTCAAATTCGATTCTGTCAGTCTTCTCTGGTCCCATTCCAATTTAAAATAAAAAAATGGGTGATAATGGTTCTGATGTGTCTTGTTGTGTTGGTTTTGGTCGTATTATTCGTGCTTGTATTTGTGCTTGTAATCTTGTTTTTATTTATTTCCCTTGTGCTGTGCCTTGTATGTGGCTTGGTGGTGAAAATTGTGCTCCTCCTTGTTGTGCTACTGATGGTCCTTGTGATCCCGATGGTGATTGTTGTTGTGGGCCTGTTTTCGTCTGAGACAGGTATGTTCTCTCCGTTGTGTTTCGATCAGAATTCATAGAGACAACGTCAGTACTGTTATAGTACATCGTTCATATTTTTTTTTATTACTATTTTTAGTACTTTATGGTATTCTATTGATTAATGAGTTTTTCTTTCTAGGAGATATGGCACAAAAATACACGATCAACGAAAATCAAACATTTTTTTCGAATGTCATCATTCTCACTGAACACTATTGATTAACTAATTTTTTTCTATTCCATTCTAGACTGTTTAAGGTGGCCAGAGAGTAGAATGGCTACCACCATCCGAATATTTGCTCAGCTAAAAGTTTAGTTAGACGGATTCACACTGAACATGTTTTTGAATAGCTATTCATTAATGAAGAGTTATTAAAGACTTCGATTATTTACTCTGCTAATATTATTTAATTAATATAAACAATAACACTAATTTCTAACAATCATGCATGCAACATATTACGTATAACCAAATAAATCTCCTTCGTGAAGGGCATGAGTAGAACCGCTATGACAATATCCATTTCAAACTGGATAAAGATTTCATCAGACAATTTCACATTGCAAATACTCTAACAGTCACTTATTAATACAAACCCAAAGCGAAATAGAGCTAACATCATCACAATTTCGTCTTTGTTCATAGCGTCTCGTCCAGAGGCGCATCAATATATGGAACATTGAGTCAAATTTGGTCTATCATTTTTTATCATTTGATTTTTGATTGATGTTGGTGGCGAAAGTAGACAGAAATGTATAACAGTGTTGAGGAAAAAAATTCGATTCTGTCAAACATGCAACATCCAGACAGAATTATTTGTACATAAATGTGAAAAAAAGAGGACAAAGGTGCAGCAAACGAAATCACTGAAAAAAAACGTTGTGACGCATTAGACAAAACTGTTTTCAACGTATAAAAACATAATTTCTTCAATACGCGTTTACCTGAAGGAAATAACAAAAGAGAGAAACAACGACAGCAAAGAGAGAGCGAGGTATACGTATTTATGCGTCATCTGTTTATTATTTCTTCCATCAATGTTGACATAATAGAACGACTTAACACAGAATATATATCATGAAAAGGATGTGTCGCCGTTCGCCAATTCAACTTTCGTAGGGCTTGAACCATTCGCCAGCTGACTTCATCGATGATGTCCTTCAGCTCTTTCATGAGTTTGTTTCTGTCTATGGTGTCAACCGCGCGGCTCATGTCTACGCCGAATATATGGATTTCTTCCTTGACTTTGATGATTCTGGTAATCATCCATTTGGTCGCCCATACGGCGCACGTTAAGAAAATTACCAGTAGAAAACCAATACATACCTGTTTACTTCTTCTATTAATAGACCTATAACTTTGGTTAGTCGACAAACTCTGATTAGTTTCCTAATCTTTTTTGTGAGAAAATGACATCTGTATCTCCCGCTTCCTCTTCGCCTAAAGCAAGTCACAAATCAATGAAAAATGAATGTGATAAAACAACATTTCTGTCGATGAACCATAAAGAAAAATATAAAGTTATTAATAATAAAATAAATGGAAGAACGAATACGATCTGGCAAGCGAACGGTCATTGTCTTCATCGACTTTCGATCGGCATTTGATTGCATCCACTGGCCAGCGCTGTGAAAGGCGCTGGAGGCAGAATTCGTTCCACGGAAAGTGATCAGTCTCCTCCAACAGAGCTACAACGGATCATACATCCAAGTACGAATACGAAACGAGTTGTCTGAAGAATTCGCCATCCGAACTGGAGTTCGGCCGGCGGACGTTCCCTCATCGCCGCTTTTCAACATCGTGGTCGACGCCATCATGAGGAAGGCCTTCAAAGGCAGGCCTGGTGTCCAATTCGAAGTGGGTGACTCTGCGCCAGACTTGATGTTTGCCGATGATAGCGCTGTGCTCGGCGAAGACGATACCGAGGCCACAGATATTCTCTATGATATCGCCCGCATCGCCCAGTCGTTTGGATTACAGATCAACGCAGAGAAAGCAAAGGTACTGACGACAGATGGATCACCGGCCACTGTCTACCTCAATGGCGTCCAAATCGAACAAGTCCAAGAATTCAAGTATCCTGGATCACGGGTTCAGGGGAAGAAAGTGGCATCCACAGCAGAGATCCACAGCAGGATTGGGCAAGCAGCCGCAGCATTCGTCTCACTCAAGTGGTGCTTGTGGAAAAGAATCAACATCTACACAAAGACCAAAATCCGACTCTTCCGAACCCTGATCCTGCCGATCCTTCTCTATGGATCAGAAACGTGGACTCTACTCAAACCAGAGTTGAACAAGTCAGAAGTCTTTCAAATGCGATGCCTATGTCAGATCCTGCACGTCTCACTCCGCGATCACCTTCGAAACGAAGTCATTCGTAATCGCTGCGAACGTCAACCAACGATCGAAGAACTGATCCAGAAGGAGCGAATGCGATGGCCAGAAACCTGGCCACAGACCGCCAAGAATGGAAACGACTGCTAAACGAAATCCGAAACCCACTGGCACCCACAGCAGCATACCGGCTTCGAGGGTAACCTCGACCAAATGTCAGCTAGGGATCAGAGAAGAAGAATAATAATAAAAATTTCCGTGTATCTGTATAATTTAGCGGTATGAAATGCAGACCAATTGCTTCGTTCAAATATCTATTAATTTTCTCATTTTATTTTCTACAAGGTCAGTGAAAAGCTTGCATGAGAAAAATTGGATGGTTCACCACAGATGAAGTTTGCATCGACCAGATAGCCACACGTAAATACCAAGGGGGTAAAAGCACCACTTCACCACTTAATTTCACTTCACTTCACCTAGGTAAAACGCTGCTGAAACGGTCGAAACAATAAAAAATCACTTCAATTTCACTTCAAGTTAAGCGGAAGTGGTGAAATGGTACTTTCCCTCCCTTGCTTCCCTCCACTATCAGGGGCGCCGTTTCAGCAGTGAAGTGAAGTGAAGTGGAATGAAGTGGTGAACTGGTGCTTTTACCCCCTTGCGTAAATACACTATCTCTGACTGGGCTGATAAAGCTGAAATGACTGCCAAACGACTTATGCGGATCGCTCAAGAGAACGGCAAGCGATTAACATAACTTAGCAGTACATACTATTAATATATTGTTTTATCCTGTTAATTTATACACATTTCGCACTCATTATAGCACCTTTCAGGTGTATGTTTGCCATACGTTACGAAAATTATATAGGAAAGTTTTCTAGCATAGAAATAAAATAAAATAGTACAAAATATTTCGAATGTAAATTCATTTTCTTATTTTAATTTAAATAAAGAGTACGCATGATGTACAATTCTTTGAAAATTTTCTGTCGGTAGCTTACTCGAAGCCGAAGTGCAACCATAATTTTAGGAAATGTATACGAAATGAAGTATGATAACGAAAAACATTTCAGCATATGTAAAGCTTAACTTTAAGCAGTTGGTTTTAGTTCTTTGCCAGCAGATTAACATGAGAGGCATTACGCTTCATACTCTCGAAAGCGACTCAATCTGTTGTTGTTCTAGTCTAGCTTCCTCATTAGAATCTTTACTATATTAAAACAGTAAAGTACATACCGTTAATTTCGTAGCAAATGATATGCATTTTAGCAGTTCGTTGTGAACTATTGAAACACTGTGCATCATTTATTTAATCTATCATTATTTATTTTCAGTATGGAAGCTACGATGATTATTGCTAACAAGTTGATCACAAATTAGGATAATGTCTCTCTATTTTTGATTAAAAATTTAAAAACATAAAGCTTTAAATCACTTTTAAAGCTTTTCTGAAAGAGGTTGAAATATTATTTGGTAACTCACTCTCATACTGCCAGCCCCGTCCTTCTCTGCCGAATCCTATCTACACACATATGTGAGATATGGTCCCGATAATCCATCGACATATTCTCTGACTAAAAGTAAGTAATAAGTAAGTAATCAGACGAAAACATGGCTGTGTCCACAAAAGAGGAAAGGATATGCAGCCATGCAAGTTTCACAGTCGAGGTCATTCACTATCGCGAATCTAAAAGTGATCAAGAGCTAGCTAGGAAGAATCCGGTTAGTGGAAAATGTTTTCAGCAGGTATTATCGAATAGATTTTGAGTTCTGCTTTCTTACCAAAAATGAATTGTTCAGTTATGCACGGGAGAGAGAAGGAACAAGGTTCACAAGTTAGGTTAAATGGGATAGTACTGCTGGTCATGCTGTAAAAACGCAGCAAAGATGTCAACATCTAAAGACTTGCAGTTTTTACTAAAATCTATTATTAAGGGTGCTTGACAAGATCTACTGGATCTCGTCACTGGCGCTTCTAGTCTGCGTAATGATGATGGATATCACTATATCCGTTTCAGATTTAATGATGATCGATAATATTGTTTATCCTTTTTTGTATGTTGGTCATAATATCTGATCTAATTTGAATTATAATTTATATTTAGTAAGAAATTATGGCTGAGAACAAACAATATGAATTAGATACATCTAGTGATTAAGCGTACGGTTCATTCATTTATCGGGCGTTTTCGCAGCTGTCGCATCTGGAGCCGATACACCGTTAAGTTCATCTTTCGATATATTACCCGATGAATCCGATACAAATCGCTACCAGGCACATAACTAGATATATCTAGAAAGGAATGAGCTGCGTCTAGATGTATCGTGTTTTGTATCTAGTGTATCTTGCTGCATCGGACTATACCCGATACATTTTTGATGCTTAGGTTAGCTGGCTTACTAAAAGCGTTTTGTTTGTTCAATAAAAGGTACTACAAAAATAGGCAAATACCAACGCTTGTCACGTTTAGTTTTTTTAACATCGATTTTCAAAAATTCGCGGAATAGTCGGGATCCTGTTCGCCGATGAGTTTGTTAATCAAGACGACTACTAGGATATTTTGAGTATACTCGAACGAAGAGAAAATACAATCAATTGATA